GCCAGCTACTCAGGAGGCTGAGATCTGGGGATCTTGGTTCGAAGCCAGCCCGGGCAGGAAAGTCCGTGAGGCTCTGATCTCCAAATGACCACCAGAAAGCCGCAAGTGGCGCTGTGGCTCAAGTGGCAGAGCGCTAGCCTTGTGCAAAAGAATCTCAGGGACAGTGCCCAGGCCGGGAGTTCAAACCCCCGCCCTAGTACCAGCACAGAACAAAACAGAACACCCCTAGAAGGGATGTACGTTTTAATTAGCTAGATTTACTATTCCGCATCACACACGTACACATAAGTACATGTACACACACACGTGTTTATATATTCAAATATATACATGAAAATATGCTAAAACACCGTTAATGGACATAATTTTTAAATTAGAAAAAAAGCAAACTATTAAAGTAAAAAAGCTGGCTTGACATAGTTTTCATCTCAAATCCCTGGTAGTGGGAGGAAGAAGAGGAATAGTTAGCTCAGAAAAAGTGATCAGATCCAAAAACAAACAAACAAACAAAACCAAACCAAAACCCCAACAACATGAAAGTGTTGGGGGTGTAACTTCAGAGGCATTTGTCTACCGGGGAGGATTTGGGGGTAAACCTAAATACAGTACAAACAAAATGTCAAAAGAAAAAAATGTTAAAAATCTGGAAGGCGGTAAGCATTTTAAAAATTACATGTAATTTCATTTGTTATGGAAAAAGATTTAAATTGGGTTACTGCTGGCTTATACCTGTAATCCTGACAGCATAGGAGGCTGAGATCTGAGTATCACAGTTTGAAGCTAGTGGAACTTTGTTCTTATCTCCACTTAACCACAAAAAGCCAGATGTAGTGCTGTGGCTCAAATGGTAGAGGCCTAGCTTATTGGACTGAAGCCCCAGGACTGGCATTTCCCCAAAACAAAACAGTTTATATCTTGTTTGAAAAAAAAAAAGCACAACGATTTTGGTTTAGATAATAAATGAATGCATAGCTTCTTGATATAGGACTATGGAAAGTTGGAGGGCTGCCTTGATATTTAAACAACAAAGAGCAAATAAACAAGAACTGAAAAAAAAAGATATGCTTAACACCTCTTAGTGGACATTTAAGCTATGCTCTTTGCTCCTAATTAATTCTGCAGTGGAGAAGTGAAAAAGGTCAGAGCTTAGTCTTTTCCTTCCTCTCATTTCTTGGCAGTAGTATCCTTTTCCTTTTGTTGTTGTTGGTTGTGGGGCTTGAACTCTAGGCTTGGGTGTTGTCCCTCAGCTCTTCAGCTCAAGGAGAGCGCTCTTCCATTTGAGCTATAGTGCCACTTCTGATTTTCTGGTGGTTTATTGGAGATAGGAATCTCATGGACTTTCCTGCCTGGGCTGGCTTTGAACTGGGATCCTCAGATCTCAGCCTCCTGAGTAGTTAGGATTACAGGCGTGAGCTACCGGCTCCTGGCTGGCAGTAGTTTGCTTTTAGTCATTTGTGGGCTGGGAATGTGGCTCAGTGGTAGAGTGCTTGCTTAACATGCATGAAGCCCTGGTTTTGATTCCTCAGTACCATATAAACAGAAAAAGCTGGAAGTGGCACTGTGGCTGGAGTGGTAGTGTGCCAGCCTTGAGTTGAAGAGCTCAGGGACAGCACCCAGGCCCAGAGTTCAGGACCCATGGTCAGCAAAAAAAACAAAAAAATTATTTGTGCTTGTACTGCCTTCTTGCACCCCTATTTGTGTGTGTGTGTGTGTGTGTGTGTGTTTCTTTGTCCGTTGTGGGGCTTGAACTCGGGGCCTGGGTGCTTGCTGTCCCTGAGCTTTTTTTGCTCAAGGTTAGTGCTCTGCCACTTTGACCCACAGCTCCACTTCCACTTTAGGTAGTTAATTGGAGATAAGAGTTTACGGATTTTCCTGCCCAGACTGGCTTCAAACTGTGATCCTCAGGTCTCAGCCTCCTGAGTTGCCAGGAGGTACCCAGGTACCCCTCTGTCTTTATGTGGATGAAGTTACACATATGGCATACCACTGTATTTGATTGTTTAAAATTTATTTTTCTAATTATAAAGATAATACATGCTTTTTGTACAATGAGAAGTTAGTTCAGAAGAACATCAATAATAAATTCTAATAACTGGATGACAACTGATTCTCTGGAATATAATTTTTGTCTTTGTTTCCTTAGCAGTGAGTTTAAAAAGTGTTTGTTAGGACTGGGGTGTTGGTGGCACAAACCTGTAATCCTAGTTTCTCAGGAAGCTGAGATCTGAGGATTGAGGTTTGAAACCAGGATAGGAAAGTCTGTGACGCTTACCTCCAGTTAAAAACTAAAATAGTTGAAAGTGGAGCCATGGCTCAAGTGATAGAGTACTAGCATTGAGGGGGTGGGGGGGAAGGCCTGGTCCCAGTGGCTCATGTCTGTAATCCTAGTTGCTGAGGAGGCTGAGATCTGAGGATTCTGGTTCAAAGCCAGACCAGGCAGGAAAGTCTATGAGATATGTCTCCAATTAACCATCAGAAACCTGGAAGAGGTGCTATAAAGTAGTAGAGCACTAGCCATGAGCAGAAAACTCAGGGACAGTGTCCAAGCCCTGAGTTCAAGATCTACAAATGATCAAAAAAAAAAAAAAAGTTTAGGCACAGCACCCAGACCCTGAATTCAAGCCACAGGACTGGCACCAAAAGAAAGAAAGTGTTTAAAGGGAAATATTGCAGTTTTTAATTTATACTTTTTTCTTTTGCTTATTCACATAGTGGAATCATATTTCAAGTAAGATTTCACATGCTTTTAGTCAAAGGTCCATTCATATTCTTCTTTCTCTATATAGCTTTCTTCAGCATTCCAAACTAATCATATTGTAGTGGTTTAGTTTTCTATATGTATATGGTTTAGTTCTTTAATTAGATTGAAAGCTAGTTGTGTGGTCCTGGATAAATAATTCAGTTTTGCTGAGCCTACTTTCCTTATTTATCAATTAGGGATAATACTACTTTGCAAGGTTGAAGTGAGGATTAGACATAATGTATCCCTCTTCACCTGACTTATGTAACTGTAATCCCTCTGTACATGACTTTTATAGTAACAATAGAGAACATTTAAAAGTGTCCAAGATAATCTCAATAAAAATATTAAAAAATTTAAGCTTCTGCAGTCTACTAAATATATTTATAGTCTTACAATATTTCAAATGAATGAATAGTTTTTGCATCCGGTCAATTTAGATACTAACAACACCAATGATGTGTAAGGCACTTCATAAGTCTTTTAAGGCCTTGTGAACCCATATTTTATTTAGGTGTGTTTCCTACCTAAACCATATGCTGCTTTTCACCTTCAGCATTTCTCTTAATCATCTTGTTTCTGTGGACCTGACTGGTCCCACGGAGTAGGTGCTGAATGATAATGTGTGGTAAGCTGAGTTGAATAATTTAGAATGGAAACAAAACATACATTAGATAAGATCTGGAAGGCTGTGATGAAAATAACAAGTAATTTGGGAGAACTGGAGACATTGGTTTTGGTTAGGGTCACTGGTAATGCCTTGTGGTGGAGTGATAGTCTTTGTAAGATCTGCACAAGGACACCTCCCTCCCTTTTGGCTAAGTTTCCGCCCAGTATCTGTTACCTAGGTAACTGGCAGACCTGGAAGCAGTCACCTTCCCCTCCTTCTAGGTCACATCCTAGGCCATCTCTGATCACATGCCTCCCATCTGACCTTAGGAGGGTCCTAGACCCTGAGTTCACATCCAGATCCAGTGTGGCCATACCTTTCCCCCACCTGGCCACACCTGTTTCTGTCTGTGGCCTAGATAAGTCCTGGCCCAGAGGTGGGTCGACCCTTTTCCCCCCTTTCCCCCCCACCTCGCCCCTTGACTTTTTAGCCATGCTCTCCACAATGCATGAAGGGGGGCAGCAGTTCGGTAAATAAACTTCTTTTCCTGCCTGAATAGTGCCTGGTGTTCTTTTCATGGGCTACCTAATGAAACCTACCTATTTAATATACCTTACAGTCTTGACCTAATTATGGGGGCTGAGAAAAAGAGCTTAAAGACAAGTTTATAGTATGAGTTAAGCTTTGGAGGTAAAAAGGAACAGCATATGTTTTGTTATCAGAATTATTATTAGAGGTGAGAAAGTACTGTGGATGAATGGGTCCTGATGAGCCGTGTGTGTGTGTGTGTGTGTGTGTGTGTGTGTGTGTGTGTGTGTGTGTGTGTGTTGAGGACCTGGGGCCTGAACTCTGGGCCTGAGCAATGGCCCTGAGCTTTTTTTTTTCTTTTTGCTCAAGACTAATGCTCTACCACTTGAGCCACGGTAGCTTCACATCTGGCATGTTAGTAATTAATTGGCATGTTAGTAATTAATTGGTGATAAGAGTCTCATGGACTTTCCTGCCTGGGCTGGCTTTGAAGCTCAATCCTCTGATCTCAGCCTCCTGAATAACTAGGATTACAGGTGTGAGCCACCATTGCTCTGCTTTTGATGTCATTCTTTATAATTCTATGCGTTTTCAGTGTTTCTGAAAAACCGTTCTTACATCACGGCCTGACGTGTCTAGGATAGAGTGGATCGGAGGAATGATGGCACAGGTCAGGGAAGAGCTGGATCAGGGCTGGCAACCGGCCTGCACAGGAGTGTGGCAGGGGAGTGGGAGGATGGCGAAGACTTTCAATGGCAGGAGACTTAGTGGCCAGTATTGGAGAGGAGGAGGGAGTGTCCAGGACTCCCCTAACTGTTCAGCAGGCAGCAAAAGGCTGCCTACGTGAACTGGTTACCCATGACAAAGGGAAGGGCACCTCTAGCCAAACCGTTGACAGCTCCAGCCCAGGCCTTTGCGTGGCGCCCGGCCCACGCCTGTAAGCCCCGCACCTGTCGTCCCGCCCATCTCATGCCCCATCCCTCCCCTTTGGCCCTGCCCACTCGCCCAGACATCTCGCCACGCCCACCGAACCTGGCCCGCCCAATCACCTCCCACCGCTGACCCCCGCCCCGATCTGGCCCCGCCCCGATCTGGGCCCGCCCTGTCCCCTAACCAGGCTGGGAGACCCCGCGGGCCCAACGCCCTCCGCCCAACCCCACGGCCGGTGCGCCCTGCAGAGGAAGGGCTGGACGGTGGGGTGGGCGGCGGGTCGGTTACCTCTTCCTGTCTCACCGCGGGCGGCGCGAGGTTTTTCGAGCTGTATGGCGGGAGCTGGGGACGAGCGTGAGCCAGGCCCCGCGGCGGGGGAACCGCAGCAGCCGCCACCCGCCTCCTTCCAGGTCTTCCCCGAGCGGCCGGCGCAGGAGAAGCCCCAGCAAGGGCTCCTCTCCAGCTTCTTCACCCACAACCAGAAGTGCCAGCTCATGCTCCTCAGGACGCTGCAGACAAGTAGGAGCCGAGACCCGGAGGCTGGGGGTCGGCGAGGTGGTGTCTGAGATCCGGTGGGGCAAGGGCCTGCGTCCCACCCAGCCAGGAGGGCGCCGGTGCAGTCCCAGGTGCTGGATGGGTGGGGTTCCGGCACTCAGCCTAAGGTGCAGAGTTACGAGGTAGTAAGCGGGGCCTGCCTCAGTTTCCCCATGAGAGGAGAGTCTGAGGCTTTTCAACTCTACTCTTTTGCTTGTAGAATGAATAAAAAGTGAGGCTGAGACTTTGCCCTTTTCGGTTACATTTACGAATTTCTTTCCTTTTTTTTTTTTTTTTAATGTTTTTTTTTTTCCGATCCTGGGGCTTGAACTCAGGGCCTGGACTTTGTCCCTGAGCTGCTTTTGCGCAAGGCTAGCACTGTATCATTCGAGCCACAGCGCCACTTCGTGCTTTTTCCGTTTATGTGGTACTGAGGAATTGAACCTAGGGCTTCATATGCCAGACAAGCACTCTACCACTAAGCCACATTCCCACCTCATATTCATGGATTTCTTATGTAAATTGTGTAGCAACCTGGAGACTTTAGGGATCAGGTGAGGAAAGTTCAAAGAGCCCCCATAAAAAGGGGAAAGGACTACTGCTAACCATGCAGAAACAGTATTTTTTTATTTTTAAAAATTTCCCCCTAAACCTGTCCTTATTGAAGGGATTCTTCACCTTTATGCACGGAGGTGGAATGAGGTCACCTAGTGTCCAAACCTCAGAAAAGTCGTGTGTGCATGCACCTAAGTGTTTTTTTGGAGTGAGGATTAATATTTTCATTGTATTCTTAAGAGGCTTAGGAACACAACTTCTCACTAACCGATTTCTCTCCAGTCCCAGAGGCATTACATTAGATTTTCTTAACTTCCTTCCTTCCTTCCTTCCTTCTTTCCTTCCTTCCTTCCATCTTAACTTCCTATTCCTCTTGCTCTACCACTTGAGCCATACCCCAACTAAAGAACTCTGAATTTAAGGTTCCAAATGAAATTACATCAGAAAGAACATGGGTAGCAGAGTTAAACATGGGTTCTAATTCTCCCTCTCTTTAGATATGAAAGAGTGACTTAACCTTTCTGATCTCCTTCACCTTTTTATTTAAAAATAAAAAGAGGAGGAAGGAAAAAAAGAGGAGGGAGGGATAAGAAGACCTCTTTTGGGGCTGGGAAGGTGGCTCAGTGGCAGAGTGCTTGCCTTGCATGCATGAGGCCCTGCGTTCAATTCCTCAGCACCACATAAGCAGAAAAAGCTGGAAGTGGAGCTGTGGCTCAAGAGGTAGAGTGCTAGTCTTGCACTGAAGAGCTGAGGGACAGTGCCCAGGCCCAGAGTTCAGGCCCCAGGACTGACATTAAAAAAAAAAAAAAGAGTATCTCTATTTGGGCTGGGAAGGTAGCTCAGTGGTAAAGTGCTTGCCTCACATATATGAGGCCCTGGGTTTGATTCCTCAGCACCATATCAGTAGAAAAAGCCTGAAGTGGCACTGTGGCTCAAGTGGTAGAGCACTAGCCTTGAGCTGAAGAGCTGAGGAACAGTGCCCAGGCCTAGAGTTCAGGTCCTATAATAAAACCTCTTTTTAGCTGGGCACCTGTAATTCTAGCTACTCTGGAGGCTGACATCTGAGGATCATGGTTCAAAGCCAGCTCAGGCAGTAAAGTTCATGAGACGTTCATTTCCAATAAACTACTCAGAAAAGATCAGAAGTGGCACTGTGGCACTAGTGGTAGAGCTCTAGCCTTGAGCAAAAGGAGCTCAGGGACAGTGCCCAAGCCATGAATTCAAGCCCAAGGATTTGAAAAAAAAAAAAAAAAAGAAGAAGAAGAAAAGAAAGAAAGAAAAGAATACCTCTTTTAGAGCTTTAAGGAACAGGTCTGAGGACGAGTAAAGTGCCAGCCTATCAGGAGCTGAATAAGGCTAGCAGCTCTTACCATGGAAGAGCTAAGTGGTGGAAGACCCTCAGAGTGTTGAATATGACATACCCTGGGCATCACTAGCCTCATCTTCCCAGAGGAAATTGCTTGAATAATGCACTTAATATGATGCTTGGTACCTAGTATATACTTGATTAATAATACCTATTGTTAGTAATCATTCTGTTAGCACTCTTAAGAAGGAGCAGCCTCGTAAAGCTGTAGCCCTATACTTAACTACTTTTCTTTCATCAGGTTTGGCTTTCATCATATTTTTAGGTCCTTGTCTCTCCCTCCCTCCCTCCCTTCCTCCCTCCCTCCCTCCCTCCCTCCCTCCCTCCCTCCCTCCCTCCCTTCCTTCCTTCCTTCCTTCCTTCCTTCCTCCTTGTCTGTTATGTCCTGGGCAAGGTGCCTAGATGGAAAATTGATATTAGAGGTATTTGGGTTCATTGCACTTCTTGGAATAGAGACTCTTTGAGTCCCTTAGAAGTGGATGAGCCTGCAGGAATCATCTAGGCTTCCCCATTCCACATAAGAAATGGTTGTTCAATCACTGAGTGGGTTTCTTTAGACCTCTCCTAGAGCAGGTTGCTCATTCTTAGAAACTCTTTGAGCTTCTAAGAACTTGTCTATTGTTTGACAGCTTTAAGTAGTTGAAATTAGTTGAAATCTGCCTTATGTGATTTGTACTCTTTGGCCTTGTTTGGCCCTTTGAAGCAATATTGATGAATCTTTTCTCACATCGCAGGCACCTTTTCAGTTCTTGAAGCTCCTGTAGTCTGTCTTCTAATTTCCAACTTCCCAAGTCTTTTCTTGCTTCTTACTAGATAGTCCTGCAAAATTCTAATTATCATTCCCTATGGAAGAGCTTCAGTTGTCAGGTCTCGTTTTGAGTGTGGTACTTGAGAATGGACTTGGTGTTCCTGGTGGGGTATAATCAGTACATATAACAGTGTAGCTATTGCCTTCCTCAGATGTGGATATCATGTTATTGTTTGTGGATATCATGCATAAATAAGTCAAAGACTCAGTCTTTTTTTTTTTTTTTTTTTTTTGGGTCCGGTCATGGGGCCTGAACTCTAGGCCTGGGCACTGTCCCTCAGCTCTTCAGCTCAAGGCTAGCGCTCTACCACTTGAGCCACAGCGCCACTTCCGGCTTTTTTCTTTTTGCTTATGTGGTGCTGAGGAATCGAACCCAGGGCCTCGAGCATGCAAGGCAAGCGCTCTACCACTGAGCCACCTTCCCAGCCCCTAAGACTCAGTCTTTTGCTTTTTGCTATCATAGCAAAATGATATTAAGGTCAGGCAACGGCAGTTAAGATCTGAGGATTGCAGTTCAAAGCCAGCCCGGGCAGGAAAGTCCATGAGACTCTTATCTCCAATAAACCACTCAGAAAACAAGAAGTGGCATTGTGGCTCAAGTGGTAGAGCGCTCACTTTGAGCTGAAGAGCTGAAGGATAGAGCCCAGGCCCAGAGTTCAAGGCCCACGACCAACAAAAAAAGAACCCCAAATACTAAGATGGTGCTATTTTTGTGTGTCAGTTGTGCAACTTAATCACAGAACCTGGGTGCTGTCCCTAAGCTCTTTTGCTCAAGGCTAGCACTCTACCACTTTTTTTTTTTGGGGGGGAGGCGGTTCATCCAGTCATGGGACCTGAACTCTGGGCCTGGATGCTGTCCCTCAGCTCTTCAGCTCAAGGTTAGTACTCTACCACTTGAGCCACAGCGCCACTTCCGGCTTTTTGCTTATGTGGTGCTGAGGAATCAAACCCAGGGCCTCATACATGCAAGGCAAGTGCTCTACCACTGAGCTACCTTCCCAGCCCCGCACTCTCCCACTTTTGAGCCACAGCACTGCTTCTGGTTTTTGAGTGGTTAATTGAAGCTAATAATAAGTCTCATGGGGTCTTTTCTGCCCCAGCTGGCTTCTAGTGATCCTCAGATCTGAGCCTCCTGAGTAGCTAGTTTTACAGGCAAAGCCACCAGTATCTGGCCTATTTTGGTATTTGTATTCATGTTTTATTTCATCCAAGATTTGTTTTGATATTTATTTAAGCTTCTCTTTTATGTTCATTTTTACATTTTTAGAGAAAGTATTACTTCATGGTGTTTGTGAGTTATTCTTTGTTGATATACTGTTATTTAGAAATTTTAATCAGTGCTACTTTTTCCAATAGCACACTTAATGGAATCAATATCTTTTTAGATCCATATGTCAAACTTCTACTTGATGCTATGAAGCATTCAGGTTGGTAAGTAAATCTTTAAAAAATGCTACTGTATATTTTGACTCCTCCAAACAAAGAACTAAAAAACCAGAGTGACTTGAGATTTCTCACTTTAGATCATGAAGGATTTTTCCATAGACTGTGACTGGCAGTGTTCATGGCAGGTGGGCCTTGTTCTCTCCTGCTGTCTTTGTTCTGATTCAGTCTGTAGCTGTACCATTTACCTTGGTATTTAGTAAACAATACTCAAATTCTCTTCTAAGTCATTACCTAACCTGGAGTTTCTGTGACACCAGCTAGGCATTGTTCCTTATGAACAATGATATGTAGTGGGGACCCTCCAGATGTTAACTTAGAAGTGATTAAAGGAAGTAACTTCTGAGAACCACTTCCTAACATTTGGTCCAAGGACAGAAACGCCACCATTACTTTCTTTCTTTCCTTTTTTCTTTCTCTCTTTGTTCCTTTCCCATTTCCCCTTTCCTTTCCTTTCCTTTCCCTTCCCTTCCCTTCCCTTCCCTTCCCTTTCCCTTTCCCTTTCCCTTTCCCTTCCCTTCCCTTCCCTTTTCCCTTTCCTGTTATGGGGCTTAAACTCAGGGCCTAAGCACTGTCCCTGAGCTCTATTTGCTCAAGGCTAGCACTCTACTACTTTGAGCTACAGTGCTGCTTCTGTTTTTCTGGTGGTTAATTTGAGATAAGAATCTCATGGACTTTTCTGCCCAGGCTGGCTTTGAACTGCGATCCTCACATTTCATCCTCTTGAGTAGCTAGAATTACAAGCAAGAGCCACAGGTGACTGCCCCCCCCCCCCCCCCCCAATCCTAGTTCTGGAGCTTGAACTCTGGGCCTATGTGCTGTTCCTGAGCTTCTTTTGCTCAAGATTAGCACTCTTACTTGAATCACAGTGCCACTTCCAGCTTTTCTGAGTAGTTTATTGGAGATAAGAGTCTCATAGCCTTTCCTGCCTGGGTGGCTTTGAACTGTGATCTTCAGATCTCAGCCTCTGAGTAGCTAGGATTACAGATGTGAGCCACCTGCATCTGGCTTCCATCATATTTCTAATATGGTCTTCACCAGTTGACCAAATGCTTTATAGAGTCAGAATTTGAACTAGGGTAGATTTTACAAGGACAATTTCCATATTTTATAGGTAAGAAGATGAAGTCTTTCCCATTGTTTTCCAAAGGTTCCATATATATGAATGATGGAGATTTCCTATATGATGAAGGATCTTTTGACTGTTGGCCAGGGCTTTTCCCCACTCCTTCTTAACATTGTCTCTTTAATCTGTTCTTTCCTTTTAGTGCTGTTAACAGAGACAGGCACTTTTCTTGTGAAGATTGTAGTGGAAATGTCAGTGGAGGTTTTGATGCTTCAACATCTCAGGTAGGTTTCTTTGCCATATTGTTTTCTTCTATTTAAGCCTTCTTTAAAAAAATTAAACATTTTTTGTTGTTATTATTGATGCACAGAGGGTTACCATTTTGTAAGTCAGGTAATGAGTACATTTCTTTTTGGACACTGTCACCCCTTCCTTCATTCTCTCCCAGTTTTTACCTCCTATTTCTGCCCACAAGTTGTATAATTCATTTTCAACATAGCTTCTAGTGAGTACCACTGCTGTATTTGTTCATGCTTTGTCCCGCCCTTTTCTCCTCCTGATATTTGCTGAGCACCTTATTATGCTGGGTGTTCTGTTTGATAGTCTTTGTGTATGTCTCAAAAAATTAGAAGTGCCAGGCACCATTGGGCTCATGCTAGCTAGATAGCAGGCTGAGGTCTGAGGATCATCGTTAGAAGTCAGCTCAGACAGAAAAGTCCATGAGACTTTTTTTTTTTTTTTTGTCGGTTGTGGAGCTTGAACTCTGGGCTTGGGCACTGTCCCTGAACTTCTTTTGCTCAACGCTAGCACTCTACCACTTACGCCACAGCGCCACTCTGGCTTTTTCTATATTTGTGATGCTGAGGAATTGAACCCAGGGCCACACGCATGCAAGGCAAGCACTCTACCACTGAGCCACATCCATGAGATTCTTATCTCCAGTTAATCACCAAAAATCTACAATTGGAACTGTGGCTCAAGTGGTAAAGTACTAACCTTGAGCAAACAAGCTAAAGGACAGCACTCAGGTCCTGAGTTTAAACTCCAGGATTTGCACGCGCACAAATACACACACACACACACAAATTGCTCTTAAGGACAGCACTCAGGTCCTGAGTTTAAACTCCAGGATTGGCGCACGCACAAACACACACACAGACACACACACACACACACTCAAATTACTCTTGGTAAGTTCATCTGCTGCCCTGCCTCCCAGGATTAAGCCGAGTGGACACTTTGAATGTTTTTTGTGGTATTGGCATGTAAACTTAGGACTTAGGACTTTAAATTTGTTGAACAGGCTCTCTCACTTGAGCCACACCTTTGATACTTTTTTGCTTTTTTTTTTTTTTTTTGTGCTGGTCCTGGGGCTTATATTTGGGGGCCTGGATAGTGTCTTTAAACTTGTTTTGCTCAATGTTTATGCTCTACCACTTGACCCACTTTTGGCTTTTTTGGTAGTTCATTGGAGATAAGAGTCTCACAGGCTTTCCTGCCAAAGCTGGTTTTGAACCTGATCATCTCAGCTACTCCTGAGTAGCTAGGATTAAAGGCATGAGCCACTGGTGCCTGGCTGCTTTGGTTATTTTTGAGATAAGGTCTCACTTTTTGCCCAGGCTAGACTGGACCATAATCTTCTTATTTATGCTTCCCTCTACTTGAGATAGGTGCTTGCCACCATGCCCATATTTTTCTATTGAAATGGAGTCTTGTGAACTTTTTAGCCCTGACTGGCCTTAAATTGTGATCTTCTCAATCTCAGCTTCCCGTGTAGCTGGAATGGCGGGCACACAGGACCACTGCTTGCATTTGTTGATTTATACAGGATCTTGTGAACCTTTCACTGAGGCTGGCCTTGAACTTCAATCTTCCTGATGTTTACCTTCCAAGTAACTAGGATTACAGATGGGAGCTTCCCAGGCTTAGACATTTTTATGTTAATTCTCAGCAGTGTTGAGTAAGTTACATACTCTTTCTGCTTAAATAAAAATTTTTAGTAAGAAGTCTTTCATATAGAATGAAGGAAACACCTTGTGTAACTGCCATCAAGATTTGAGAAGTAAGCCGGGTGCTGGTGGCTCGTGCCTGTAATCCTAGCTACTGAGGAGGCTGAGATCTGAGGATCATGGTTCAAAGCCAGCCGGGGCAGGAAAGTCTGTGAAACTCTTATCTCCAATAAACCACCAGAAAACCGGAAGTGTTGCGGTGGCTCAAGCGGTAGAGCACTCGCCTTGAGCTGAAGAGTGCAGGGACAGTACTCAAGCCCAGAGTTCAAGCCCCACGACCAACAACAAACAAACAAACAAAAAGATTTGAAAAATAGATCATACCAATAAAAGTTCCTATGTCTCTTCCTTATCCTAATGCTTGTGGAAATCATTCCCTGCTTCTGAATATTTTTTTTTCTCATCTTCCTTGCAGTCCAGTGTGTGTTATTAAATGCTTGCTTTTGTGTTTTACCCAGAGAATGCTGTGAAATATATGTTAGCTTTATGAAATCTCACAGTAGATAGTCTTTTTTCCCCCTCTCTGGTCTTGGGCTTGTACTCTGGGCCTCAGCACTGTCTCTGAATTTCTTTTGCTTAAGGCTAGTGCTCACTACTTGAACCACAGTGCCACTTCTGGCATTTCTGAGTAGTTGATTGGAGATAAGAATCTCACAGACTTTACTGCCTTGGCTGGCTTCAAACTGTGATCCTTGGATCTCAGCTCAGATTACAGGCATGAGTCTTTTGGTAACTCTCAGTTCTTTATTGAACATTGTGAGATTTTTCCATGCTGTTATCTGTACCTCTCTGGTTTATTTAATTTCACCATTGCATATAATACAATTTACCCTATCTAATACTGATTGTTTTCAGCTTTATTGGGAACAGCCTGAGTATTCTTGACCCTCTGTCTTAGTGCACATTGACCAGTTTTTCCAAGGTCGCAGTCTTGGAACAGAATTTCTGGGTCATAGAGCATGCACAGTACCAAATATTTCAAATACTTCCCCTCCATACACAACACTGTTTTGGTTGTGTGTGTGTGTGTGTGTGTGTGTGTGTGTGTGTTTTGCTAGATTTATTTTCTTCTTCCAGCCCTTTAAATGTTGAAGGCCCTTAATTCTTGGTGTGATTCCCTCTTTTCTTATTCTATATTCTGACAATAGGATCTCATTAATTTTTCTAGCTCAGAATCTTTTAAACGCTATGTCCATAAATCCAAGTCCCCATTAACATCTTCACTTGGATGTCTTCAAGACATCTTATACCTGATACATCCAAGTCCAAATTGTGCTGTCTCCTGTCTTCACCAGATCTGGTCTTTTAGATCTTCCTATTTCAGTGGATAGTTTCTGTCGTCCACTCTTATTATTTAAGCCAGAAATTTATGGATACTTCTGATTGCTTCCCTGTCTTCTCTCCATCACCAAATTTTGTCCAGTTTATCTCTTGAATTCCTTGTTTAGTTCTCATAATTCTATCTTATCCTGAGTCTGGTCTAGATTTTTATTACCTTTCTACTAGCTTCCCTACATTTCATTTTGGTTGTTTCCTTCTTATTCTTCCAACTACAATTGGAAGGATAAAAACAACAGAAAGCAAAAGTACTTGAGTCTCAGGCTTCCTCAGTGGCTTCCCACTGCTCTCAGGGTAAAGAGTTTTCTGGAGAATTTGGCCCCTGTCAACCTCACCAGTCCATTTCATGCATGCTACCCTTCACTCTGAATGCCCCTTCTTGGACCTGCTTTCAACATTCCTCAGCTCTCTTTCTCCCTTGGCAAATGTTTTTCTCTCTGTCAGGAATACTCCCTTCTTTTTCTTAAATTTCATTCCCATTTATCTGTTAGATCTCGTTTTTTTAACATTCCTGACAGAGAAGCCTTTCTTAGCCTTCTAGACCAGTCCCTGCACTCTCTCAAACATGGGATTTTTTTTTTTCATGAGAACTGTCATTGATAAGTTTAAACATTTTAGTAAATATTTGACTAATTTCTGTCTTGATTAGTAGATTAGAAATTTATTATTAGGTTTAGTTGACTCGGTGAATGTTGAATATATATCTATATCTATATCTATATATATGAAACCTCTGACATCTAATAAGTCTACAGTTAATAGCAGCTGTATTAGGGTCGCTCTAATTTGCATAGAATTCTTCTTAGTGTGCCACTGGCTTTTTGCCCTTCTTTCTGAAGGGCTTTCCGATAATTTTTCCTGGCACTTTTTTTTCTCATTCTAGTACAATGAGTTCAGTGGTGGCTGGTGATTATTCATTCCTCACTTACTTAGAAGCTTGATAAATATTTTATGTATGCTCTCATTTAGTTTTCTCAATCCTATGAGGTAGGTACTTTGTTTTTTATAGTTGAGGAAACTGAGGGACAGAGGTGCCATGTTAGCAAAGACTAGTGTTAAGAATTTCAATGTGTCTGCTTTTCTCCACGATCCACACTTGTAACCACAATGCTGAGGGGTCCAAGACAAATTGGTATATCAGCTAAATGTGGACAGTCTGTGAGTGTGTGTCTTTCATCTAAGGGGAGGGAAGAGGGAAAAGCCAGTCATGGGACAGATAGGGCTGGAACTTGAGGAATGAGGGTAGAAAAGACTAAGAAGAGGCAGTCCAAGCCAGTGAGCTTTGTCACCATGGAGGAGAGCATGGGCAATCTGAGAAATGAATGCAAATTTTGGAAATAACAGAGCTCCTCTTATTTTTGTGTCTCCTAGATTGTTCTGTGCCAGAATAATATTGGTAATCAGGACCATATGGACAGAGTGGTCACACACGAACTCATTCATGCATTTGACCACTGTCGCGCTCATGTGCACTGGTTCACCAATGTCAGACATTTGGCCTGCTCTGAGGTGAGTTCCACTGAGAAGACACTTATTTCTCTCCAGAACACTCTGTAATGAACATTTCATTCAAGTATAATTAATTAAATATATTCCTTTCCTTGCATAGTTCTACCTTAGTATATTTTTAGGATTATCTTAAATAGTACTAGTAAGGCCTAATAATAGTGATGACTAACTTCAATTATACTATTAAACTATTTTTCCTATGGAACAGGTTATATGGTATTAAAAAACTAACTAGTATCCCCTGAGGGCTAAATGCCAAGCACTGTGCTGTTTGTAGGGATTCTTTTTAAAATTTATTTTATTTTGTTTTATTTTTTGTGGTCCTGGGAATCTAATCTTGCTGGAGAACTTTGTGACTTTGTACATGCTACTGTTGATCTACATCTTAAATAAGAATCTCTTAGCTGGGCGCTGGTGGCTCACGCCTGTAATCCTAGCTACTCAGGAGACCGAGATCTGAGGATCACGGTTCAAAGCCAGCCCGGGCAGGAAAGTCCATAAGACTCTTATCTCCAATAAACCACTGGAAAACCGGAAGTGGCACTGTGGCTCAAGTGGTAGAGTGCTCGCCTTGAGCTGAAGAGCCCAGGGACAGCACCCAAGCCCAGAGTTCAAGCCCCACCACTGCCAAAAAAAAAAAAAAAAAAAAAAAGCATCTCTTTATGAAGTATTATTATTATTGCAGTAATGGGGTTTGAACTTAGGGCTTCGTATTTGTTCAGCTTTTTACTTGCTTTCTGGGCTGGCTTGCTTTCTTTGTTGTTGTTTTTTCCCTTCCATGCCAGTCCTGGGACTTGAATTCAAGGCCTCAGGTTATTTTTTTTTTTAACTCAAATCCCTGAGCTTTTTTACTGAAAGCCAGTGTTGTACCTCTTGAACCACAACTCCACTTCTGGCTTTTTGGTAGTTTTTGTTGGAGATAAAAACCTCAGACTTAGGGGCTGGGAAGGCTGCTCAGTGGTAGAGCGCTTGCCTTGCATGCCTGAGGCCCTGGGTTCGATTCCTCAGCACCACATAAGCAAAAAGAAAAAAGCCGGAAGTGGCGCTGTGGCTCAAGTGGTAGAGCGCTAGCCTTGAGCTGAAGAGCTGAGGGACAGCGTCCAGGCCCAGAGTTCAAGACCCACAACCAGCAATAACAACAACAACAACAACATCAAAAAAGCCTCAGACTTTTCTGTCTTGGCTGGCTTCAAACCGTGATCCTAGGATATCAGCCTCCTGAGTATCGAGGATTTCAGGCATGAGCTTGATGCTGCTTGCTTTCTTAGCTGGTGCTTTATCATTTGATCTATGCTTCCAGCTGGGTTTTTGTTAGTTGGCGGTGGCATCTCAGATACTTTCTGCCTGTGCTGGTTTCAAACCATGATCCTCCAGATATTACTCTCCTGAATGAGGATTGCAGATATGAGCCACTAGCACTTGTTTCGTTTTTTTTTTTTTTTTCTTGTTGAGCATTTTAAACCTATTTTTAAATACTTTTTTATTGTAAAAATACTATGCAGAGGGGTTACAGTTACATGAGCAAGGTAATGAGTACATTTCCTATCAAGCATTGTTGCCTCCTCCTTTGTTTTTCCTCTACCATCCCTTCCACAACTACACTCTCCCCATCCCCTGCCTAAATTGTAAAGTTTATTTTTCAACCTAGTGTCTTGTACATATCATTGTTACAGTGGGTCAGCCTGTATCCTTATTTAAGCATTTTCAGTACCTGGTTTTTTAGTTAAGCTCTACAACATCCCATACTGTTACTATTCTTGTTTTATGTATATGAGTAGTCAAACAGTTCTTCAGATTCTATAGTTAATAAGTTCAGAGTCAAGGTTAAAGCCAGGGTTCTGTGTTGTCTTTCTTAGGAACAATCCTTGCTTGTTCTGGGGCAAAACATTTAGTTTGAAATCTACAACATAGCTGAGTGCTGGTGGCTCCTGCCTCTAATCCTAGCTATTCAGGAGGCTGAGATCTCAGGATCACCATTTGAAGCCAGACTGCAGGAAAGTCTGTGAGACATTTATCTTTAATGAATAACCAAAAAGCTAGAAGTGGAGCTTTGGCTCAAGTGGTATAACACTAGCCTTGAGCAGAAAAGCTCAGCAATAGCAGCCAGTCCCTGAGTTCAATTCCTGAGTTCAGTTCACACACACACGCACACACACACACACACAATTTATCATCAAGCATGTGTATATCTATGTCTCTATACATCTATCTCTATAGATATATCTACATCTCAAAGTTTATGCTTAATAACTTAGATTATTCCCCTTGAAATTAATAAGTACTTCACTGCATCTAAATGCAATTCAAATTATTTGGAGAGTAGACTAAAACCTGTGGGGTTTTTTTTGGTATGTTTGTTTTTTGTTTTTGTATTTGTGTGTGTCTCTGTGTGTGTGCTGGTCCTGGGGCTTGAACTCCGGCCTGGGTGCTATCCTTGATTTTGTTTTGTTCAAGGCTACTGCTCTATCACCTGAGCTTAATTGGAGGTAAAAGTCTAATAGAGTTTCATTCCTGGGCTGGCTTTGAACTGTGATCCCTAGATTTCAGCTTCCTAAGTAGCTAGGATTACAAGTGTGAGATACTGGCATAAGCTACTGGCAACTGGCCTAAAACCTGAGTTTTTAAATATGTCTCTCTCTTGCATGCTATGAGAATTAATTCCTGCTAGCTAAAGTGTATTAAGTTCCTTGAGCTCTTCAGAAGAATGAGGCCATGTTATTGTAGCAGTAACAAGAAGTGGGATATTCTGTTTGCTATGAAATATAAAAAATGTGGCCAGATGTTGTGGAATCTTGGTGGGGAGTTCCAATACTTACTTACTTTTTTTTTTTCCCCCGTCAGTTGTGGGGACTGAACTCTGGACCTGGGTGCTGTCCCTCAGCTCTTCAGCTCAAGACTAGCTAGTACTGTACCACTTGAGCCACAGCGCTACTTCCAGCTTTTTCTGCTTATGTGGTGCTGAGGAATTGAACCCAGGGCCTCATGCATGCAAGGCAAGCACTCTACCACTGAGTACCTTCACAGCCCCAGTACTTTCTTTTTAATCCATGAAAATGTAGTGAATTAGAAAGTATGTCACAACTTCAGTCTGCCATAGTTATAGTATCACACGTTTAGAATATCCTTGATTGTTTGTGCTTTGTTTGCACCTTTAATTTTTCCTGGGAAAGTCAAAGTGCTGCAGGAGAATCATGCCTCAGGTTTAAGGGAAAGTCCAAGAGAGTTCAGGCCATGTGCACAAAGTGCCATGGCTATAGTTGGCTTCCATTTTGAGCCCACATGGAAGTGCAGCTTTTAGATATTAAGAAGAATGCTTTGTTCAACTCCTTTTAGTAATTTCTGAGAGTGTCTTTATTCTGTAGAGATTATAGACTCTAACACTGAGGTTCAGTGTGTGACCTTTAGTTCCCAAAGACATTAGTTCTGTCTATAATAAGGCCATAGATAAGTCTAGAAAACTTATTTTGGTAGGAGATTGAAATCCTCTGCCTCCTGTCCTGATGTATATGGCATTGTTTAACATTGCTCATGATTTTTTTCCCTCTGTCATGGGGCCTGAATTCATAGTCTGGGTGCTGTCCCTGAGCTTTTTGTGCTCAAGTTAGCGTCACAGTTAGAGCCACAGCACCACTTCCTGTTTTCTGTTGGTTAATTGGAGATAAGAGTCTCACAAACTTTCCTGACTGAGCTGGAGTCTGCTTTTGAATGGTTTAAAATCCTTTAAAAGAAATCTTGAATATACTCTGTTTTATATTGCTTCCCAGTTTTTAAGACTTGGTTGATGTTATACACACACATACCACTGAGCATTTCTTTTCATTTGTCTTTGTGATAGATTCGAGCTGCTAACCTTAGTGGGGACTGTTCACTTGTAAATGAAATATTCCGGCTCCATTTTGGATTAAAACGACACCACCAGGTAAAAACTAACATAAAAGACACCTACTCTCAAATGGGTTATAAGTAGAAATAATGAATAAAGAAATGAAGTACATTTAGTATTTATAATTTACAAGAACCACATATATGAAAAGAATACAGAATATGGATCATGTAAGTCAAGGAGTTCTGCTTTATATTTAAGGACAAATTTTTATGTGACTAGGTGAGAGGTTTTAGAGCTGTGATCTTGCTTCTGGACATGTTTGGATAGTGGAAGATGAAGAATAGAAGTAAAATCACTGCGTAGCTTTTTTTTTGGGGTCCAGTTGTGGGGTCTGAACTCTGGGCCTGGGCGCTGTCCCTCAGCTCTTCAGCTCAAGGCTAGTGCTGTACCACTTGAGCCACAGCGCCACTTCCAGCTTTTTTCTTTTTGCTTATGTAGTACTGAGGAATTGAACCCAGGGCCTCATGCATGCAAGGCAAGCGCTCTACCACTGAGCCACCTTCCCAGCCCCACTGCATAGCTTTTAACAGTCCTGAATTTATATTTTAAAATTACCACAATGATCTAGGGACAGAAAATGTAACTCCTGTCCGAGCAGAGATTGTAGCACAAGTCATTGCTGTGGTTAGTGCCATCTCAAAGGCCTGAAAGCTTTGGATTGGAACAGACTTGGTTATGATGGACTGACCTGATAAGGGAAGAAATTATTAATGTATATTCATTATAGGTATTAGCGAGCTTTACTGTGACATATCCACACACATGTATACTGTATTTTGATTGTATCTCCTAACTATCTCACTGTTTGTTCTCTCTTCCCTTGGCCCTCGCCTCCTTACCCTTCCTAATAGTCCCTTTGTTACTTTTAGGTCATTATTAAAATAAACAAAAAAGATAGTTTTTGCATATGAGAAAAAATATTCCGTACTTGCCTTACGGACAAGGAAGACAAGGAAATTTGTCTTCCTGCCTTATTTCATTTTGTGTGATGACCATATGTCTCCTGCAAACAATGTGATTTCATTCTTCAGTATGGTTGAAAAATACTCCAATATGTATTCCATATATTCTTTATTTATTTATTGGTTGATAGGCATTTAGGCTGATTCTGTAGCTTGGCTTTTGTGACGAGTGCTGCAGTGTACTTGGGTATGCAAGTACTGAGAGGGATTTTGCAAATAAAAAGACAAAACTAAATGAGATTATTTTACTACAAAATCTTTAAGATTCTTGGTAGATGAGCATGGGAAGAGAATGTATAGCTCTCACAGCTGATAATAAATGTTTCAAGAAGCTATGCCCATAGTACCCCAGGCTCTGTGTTCATACTTGGGAGAAGGGCTGGTTATGTGTATATATTTTTTTAATGGGCAGAGCTAGGTGGAGTCATTCAAAGTGAGTTGCATTTTATGAGACATTAGGATCACCATTTTAACCAGATGCATAAAAGGTAAATTTGGAATAGGAGGTCCACTGGTTCACCCAAGAAGAGAGGAATGCAACTGTGCGTGGAGATGGAGAGTCAGTGAACTACTGTGAGAACTTGTGGACTTAGTGAATGGGAGCTGCCTGGAGGGCCTCACTCTGGCTGGACCATGAAGCTTCTGGTCTGTACCAAAGCAGCCTGATGATGCATCCTGACTTGTCTTGTGCCCTGTGCCTTCTGTGCCCTCGAATCCCTGTCCCTCTTGAGGAAGGAGGGCTCATGTCAGCATACTCCAAAAATTAATAATAGTATAATGGGCTAACATGTGGGACAGAGTCCTCAGTTTTGGGAGCAGTAGTTTCTCTCTCTCTCTCTGTCTTTGTCTCTCTCTATCTGTCTCTCTCTCTGTCTCTGTCTGTCTGTCTATCTCTCTGTCTCTTTTGAAAACTATTGGGTAGCACCCGCAGAAAACAAAGTAGAATCAGTAAGATGAGGGGACACATGTGGTGATGGTAGATACCGGCATGGACTCTGGGTGGTACTGTCTTTGAGAATGGAGTCCCTGCGTCCGTATGGCGTGGGTCCAAGAAATACGAACAGCAGGTACAGGAACCGACTATTTATTAGTTGATGTTCATTTAGACTGATACTGTAGCTTGGTTTTGTGACTATCCATTGCAGATCTACTTTTAGTTTAACAGATTTATGACATCTGGCAAGAAGTGAAACTGTCTTCCAACCCTGGGGCCTCAGGAGTTAGTTTTTGGCTCCTTTGGTCTTGTCCTAGAGGGGAGAAATTGCCTCTTACTGGCAGTTGCTGTTATAATTCCACATGGTTCTTCCTTTCCTTCTTGTTCTTTTATGCTTAGGGTTTAGTTTTAAAAACCTGTGTCTGGTTGCAGCTAAGTTGAAAAGTGCTAGTGAGTATCTTATCTAGCTCAAGCATGCTGACAAGGCTGAAGGAAAATTGGAATAATGCAGAGAAAATTAGTGCTTGTCAGGATGCATATCCATTAAAGCCAATATTTGATTTAAAAAAAAATTACTTTATCTTGAAATGGTGTCTTGCCCAGGCTAGTTTTGCACTCCTAGTCTCAAGCCTCAGGACCCCTGGGCTGGGTTACAAGTATGTATTGCTATGCCTGGGTTTATTTTTTGGGGAAAGGTCAAATGCTGTTCTTTTGAATTTTAGTTTGGAGATGGGGAGAAAGAAATTAATAAAAGGATTCCAAGAATTAGGATAACAGGGTACTATATTTCTTGAAATATTTAAGCTAAGAATATTGAGAAATTCTAGTCTATAGGTATGTAACATTAGGCCACTTAGGAATAGACATTAGAAATATAACTCTAAGACCCATGGGAAGAACACTGAAGGAATATATTTGTCTTTTTTTTTTTTTTTTATCTTAAAGCTAAGGCACTTCCCAAGTTTGGGTGTGTATGCCTGTAGTTTTGAGGAAGTTACCTAGCAGTGAGTGATCAACTGAGAAATAGGAGGAGAGTTCCAGAATAATATACGTTTTAACTTCAGTGGAATTTTAGTAAGCAAGGACAATAAGGACATGGCTTATGTAGAATTTCTGTGACTTTGCAGATTGGGAGTTGTTTGACAGAATCTGTCAGAGAATGACGTGTACTTAAATTATTGAAGAAATGATAAAATAGAGGTCTTATTTATGGCTAAGTAATTTTAAATTGTCCTAAACATGTTCCATCATTTGAGGATTAAGTTTCTTTGTTGTTTTTTTTCTTCCCTTTTTTGGAATGACAGGAATTAGTAAAAAAAATATGAGAGAAGCTTAATTTTAATTCTAGTTCTTACATTATATATAATGATAATTTTGTGTTTATGTTTTCATGTAGAACTAAAGCCACTTGCTTCCTTTTTATTAGACTTGTGTGCGAGACAGAGCCATTCTTTCTATCCTGGCTGTCAGGAATATCAGCAGAGAAATAGCTGAGAAGGCTGTTGATGAAGTCTTTGAGTCTTGTTTCAATGACCACGAACCTTTTGGAAGGATTCCACATAGCAAGATCTATGCAAAATACGCTCACAGAGACTTCCAGAATCGTGATCGGTATTACTCAAATATATGAAGGCAAGACGATGTATGTTTTATATGAAGGCAAGGACGATGTATGTTTTAGTGCTTTAGTGATCATGAAGAAAAGATGACTGTTAAGGAAACATATATAAAACGTAAACGATCAACTGAGTCTAGATAAAACAGGATACTGCTTTTAAGATACAATCAGAGGACTTACCTGCCAAAAAAGAAACTGCTTTGAACTCCAAGTCACAGCTTATATCTTTGTAGCTAATCAATTGGTAAATGAGACAAATAAATAAATGAAATTTTTGTATTTTCTGCAGTATAACTGTGTTTTTAGACTTTTTTTTTGATTATTGTACTTGAAAGCCATGCACTTGTGTCTCATGCATGCATATAATCTTAACTATTCAGGAGGCTGAGATCTGAGGATGGAGGTTCAAAACCAGCCTGGGAAGGACATTCTGAGACTTTTACTGCCAATTAACTACCAAAAAAGCCAAAGTGGAGTTGTGGCTCAAGTGGTAGAGTGCTAGCCTTGAGCCAAAAAGCTCAGGGACAGTGCCCAGGCCCTGAGTTTAAGCCGTAGGACCAGCCCCCCACCCAATATATATTATTGTCCTTTTAAAAAAAATACATAAGATTATCTTTTTTTAATTTTAATTTTTTGTGAACATACTGTACAGAGGGGTTACAATTACATGGGCAGGATAATGCATACATTTCTTATCAAGCATTGCAGCCTCCTCCTTTGTTTACCCTTCCCATCCCTTCCCAGCCTCCCCCCGCTCCCCCCCCCAACCCCCCCCCCCAACATAAGATTATCTTAAAACTTGATTAGGAAGCCTATGGAACATGCCCTTGCTCTTGTGCGATGTTGTATTTACATTAAGTGTATAGAAAAATAAACTGATTTCATTATAGAACATTGATGAGATGTTATCATGATCAAAGCATATAAAATGAGAATAATGAATAAAAATGAAATTAGGAATAATGAAAATGGGAATAATTAATTCAAGGGTCAGTGCAATTTTCTCCCTCATCCTTTATATGTGTGTGCATGTGTGTGATATATGTGTATGTGTGTATATATATATATTGTGTATATATACATATATGTGTATATATGTGTGTATCTGTCACATACACGGACATACACATATACACACAGAAAGGATATAGTTTAATTTTCTGGGACATTGCAGATTAGGTTTTTTGTTTTTTGTTTTTTTTTTGGTTGTGGTCCCTGAGCCTCTCTCTGCTCAAAGCTCACATTCTACCACTTGAGCCACATTACCACTTCTGGTTTTTGAGTAGTTAATTGAAGGTAAAAAATCTCATGAGGATTTTTCTGCTGGACTGTGTTTGAACTGCAGTCCTCAGATCTCATCCTTCTAAATAGCTAGGATTACAAGCTTAAGCTACGAGCACCTGGCTAGTTTTGTGTGTGTGTGTGTGTGTGTGTGTGTGTGTGTGTGTGTGTGTGTGTGTGTGTTTGATGGTCATGGGGCCTGAACTCTGGCCCTGGGCACTGTCCTTCAGCTCTTCAGATCAAGGCTAGCACTCTACCACTCGAGCCAGAGTGACCCTTCCGGCTTTTTCTGCTTATGTGGTGCTGAGGAATCGAACCCAGGGCTTTACGCATGCAAGACAAGCACTCTACCACTGAGCCACCTTCCCAGTCCCCCTTTTTTTGTTTTTGTTTTTTTAAGATTACATTAAATATCTAATGTAATCTAATTTTTATGTATTTGTAAGACCTGTCATTTTCTTATTTCTTGTCAGGCCTTCTGTATGACTTTTGCACTCAGTAAGCCTTCTCATTTTTATCTGTGCCCTTAGCAGAGGGGTTGCCTGCACCTAATACCTGCCCTGGACAAACAACATGAGGATTATTGGTTTTTTTTTTTTGGGTCCGGTTGTGGGGTCTGAACTCTGGGCCTGGGTGCTGTCCCTCAGCTCTTCAGCTCAAGGCTAGCACTCTACCACTTGAGCCATAGCGCCACTTGCGGCTTTTTTCTTATGTGGTGCTGAGGAATCGAACCCAGGGCCTCATGCATGCAAGGCAAGCGCTCTACCACTGAGCCACCTTCCCAGCCCCACAACATGAGGAAACGAAGTTATTATTGGCAGGATTCTTTCTTTCAAATAATTTAAAATTTGATATAAGTGATAAAGTGCTACCCCATGCCTAATAATTTATTAGACATTAAAAATAACGTTGAGCTGTTGACTCCTAGCTACTCATCTACTCAGGCTAAAATCAGAGGATCATGGTTCAAAGCCACTCTGGGCAGGAAAGTCTGTGAGACTCCTATTTCGAAGTGGCCACCAGAGGGGCTGGGAAGGTGGCTCAGTGGTAGAGCGCTTGCCTTGCATGCCTGAGGCCCTGGGTTCGGTTCCTCAGCACCACATAAGCAAAAAAGAAAAAAGCTGGAAGTGGCGTTGTGGCTCAAGTGGTAGAGAGCTAGCCTTGAGCTGAAGAGCTGAGGGACAGCGCCCAAGCCCAGAGTTCAGCCCCCAAGCCCAGAGTTCAGCCCCCACGAATGGACCAAAAAAAAACCAAAAACAAAACGAAGGTGGCCACCAGAAAACTTGGAAGTAGTGCTGTGGCTCAAAGTGGTAGAGTGTTAGCTTTGAGTGCAAAACCTCAGGGACAGTGCCCAGGCCCTGAGTTCAAGCCTTGTGTTGGACTAACAACAACAACAAAAAACCAGCAGCAGACAAAGCCACAACAAAACAAAACAAAAAACCCAACCCTCCCAAGGTTTGAAGATTATGTGAAGGTCAGGTAGGAAGCACCAGAAATCTGCTCCACTTTAGGCAAAAAATTCACCAGCAGAATCTGCTATACTTGTTTTGAAACTTGAGGCTAATGAAGGCTTGCAGCTTACAAGGGGAAGCTTGGATGGTGAATCATAGCTCCTTTTCAGTCTCTTTTTTTTGAGGAGGAGGGGGGGATGGTTATTCCTGGAGCTTGAACTCGTGGCTTGGCACTGTCCCTGAGCTCTTTTACTCTGGGCTAATGCACAGCTCTACTTCCAGCTTTTGTGAGGTAAGAGTCTCATGGACTTTCCTGCCTGTCCTGGCTTTGAACTGCAATCCTCAGATTTCAGCCTCTTGAGTAGCTAGGATTATAGGTGTGAGCCACTGGTGCCCATTGTTTTTTTCAGTTATTATTATTATTATTTTTTTATCAGTCATGGGGCTTGAACTCTGGGCTTGGGCACAGCTCAAGGTGAGCGCTCTACCACTTGAGCTACAGCACCACTTCCTTTTTCAGTTATTTTTAACTCTTCATTTGAATGGTTAACATCTATGGATCCCCCCACTCTACAGTCCTGTAGAAGTTGTGCACATATTTATGGAGCAACTCTTGGGAAGCCTGGGTGAACAAAAAGTGAACTTGTTTTCCCAGTATCAGAGATACAACTCTGATGGCTAACTGCTGCTTCTGATCATGAAGGTGCAAAGACATGGACAGCCATTGTTGTATAAAGTCCATCAAAATGAGGATACAGGACATTCCCATCACCCCAGGAAAGTGCCTTCCCCCGCCAGTTTCTCTTCCTCTTCCCCCACTCACCAGGTAATAGTTCTGATATTTTTCACAATAGGTTAATTTTTTATTTTTATTTTTTTTGTCAGTCTTGGACCTTGAACTCTGGGCCTGGGCACTGTCCCTCAGCTCTTCAGCTCAAGGCTAGTGCTCTACCACTGGAGCCACAGCGCCACTTCTGACTTTTTCTGTTTATGTGGTACTGAGGAATCGAACCCAGGGCCTCATGCATGCAAGGCAAGCACTCTACCACTGAACCCACCTTGCCAGCCCAAAATGTTTTTTTTTTTTTTTTATTGTAAACATGCTGTAGAGAGGGGCTACAGTTACATAACTAAGATAATGAGTTCATGTCCTATTGAGCATTGTTACCCCCTCCTTTGTTTTTCCCCTACTATCCTTTCCTTCCTCACCTCCCCAACTCCTCCCACCCCTCCCCCCTGAAGTTGTAAAGTTTGTTTTCAACATAGTATCTTGTACATCTCATTGTTGTAATGGGTACACAATAGACTAATTTTGCAATAGGTTACATTTTCACAATAGATTGATTTCATTAGTATGCCCCAGTACTGGTGCACGTACACACATATACACACACACGTGTATACAGATATACTCACACTGTATACACATAAATGGGAGCTGACAATAGATCTCTGACATTGACCTGTGTGCTCTAAATAGGTTGTGTACCTTTGGAGGTAATGGCTTTCCAGGGGAACTTGACACCTAGATGGTAATCCTTTGCCATCTCTGGTGAATGAATACATGCTAATGAATACAAGCATTGGCTTGGAGGTAGAATATGAATGTTTAAGGCAAGACTGTCTCTCTAGCAATTCTCATGAATAGTGCTGGAAAGCTTTTTTTTTTTTTTGTCGGTCGTGGGGCTTGAACTCTGGGCCTGGGCGTTGTCCCTCAGCTCTTCAACTCAAGGCGAGCGCTCTACCACTTGAGCTACAGCGCCACTTCCTAATGCTGGAAAGCTTTAAAAGACAACACACTGTTCTGCTTTCTGAAACATTTTCCTCTAAAACATGGCCCAGAAGCATTGGGAGAACAATGATGGTTGTTTCCATACGCTGGAGTTCATGTGAGTCACAGTGATGCCCTTTGAACCTGATAGATCAAATAGTTCATTTAATTGTATTAACTGAATTGATTTTAAACCAGCAGTATTGTTTGCAGCACTGAAGGAGACATTATTCTCCAGCCAAGCGAGGTAAGTGGGTCATCTTGGGATTTGCAGGTGGCATTTTCTTTTATGGTACTGCACTGGGAACAGTCTTTGTCCTGAAAAAGACACTCTCAGCAAAGCTTCCCCAAAACTGTCTAGATTAATTTTTTTCAAAATTATGTGAGAAGATTTACCAATTACACTTTCAAGAGTTGAACTGATCAGACTCACGTGGCTGTACAATCTGCATATTGACATTTGAAGCTCCAACAGATCAAAATGGTTAACAAAGTTTGATGGAAGTGATCTATGAACTTTTTTTTTTTGTGCTGGTACTCAGGGTACTGTCCCTTAGCTTTTTTGTTCAAGGCTGATGCTGTACTACTTGAATCACAACTCTACTTCCAGCTTTATGGAAGCTACCCTGGCTTTGAATCATGATCCTCAGATCTCAGCCTCCTACATAGCTGGGATTTCAGGAGTGATCCAATGGTGCCTGGCTGAACTAAGATCTAATATGCTGTATATTTGTATGACTTACATTACTGCATTTTGAGAATCAGCCCATAAAATGTTGTA